CTTGAGACACCGGCTGAGATGACTGAGGCTTGTACCCAGCTTCCGGAGCGGATTGCGCAGACTGAGTCTTGTACCCAGCTTCCGGAGCGGATTGAACAGACTGAGGCTTATATCCAGAGTTCGTGGTGGCTTGAGATGCGGACTGAGGGTTATACCCAGAGTCTTGGTTGAATTGACTTTCGGGCTGATACCCAGTCTGCGGGGTGGCTTGGGATGAGGATGATTGGGGGCTGTACCCAGAGTCTTGGTTGAATTGACTCTCAGGTGGATACCCAGACTGAGCGGCGGACTGAGCAGACTGAGGCCTATACCCAGAGCCTGGGGCAGATTGAGCAGACTGGGATGACTGAGGCTTAGCCCCAGAGTCTTGGTTGAATTGACTCACAGGCTGATACCCAGTCTGCGGGGTAGATTGGGATGAGGATGATTGGGGGCTATAGCCAAACTCTGGGGTTGATTGGGAGGCAGGCTGGGGCATATATCCAGACTGCGGGATAGATTGGGATTCAGACTGCGGGTTGTAGCCAGACTCAGGGTTAGATTGACTCTCAGGCTGATACCCAGTTTGCGAAGTGGCATGAGATAAGGACTGGGGCTTATAGCCTGATTGCGGGCTGGCTTGAGATGACGACTGAGGGCTGTAGCCAGACTGTGGGGCAGCCTGGGATGCGGACTGAGGGTTATATCCAACCCCCGGAGAAGATTGAGTCTCAGGCTTATACCCTGAATTTCCGGTGGACTGGGACGCAGATTGGGGCTTATACCCAGACTGTGGGGTGGCTTGGGATGAGGGCTGAGGGCTGTACTCAAACTCCGGGGTCGACTGAATCTCGGGCTGATACTCTAGCTGCGGGCTTGCTTGGAACGAGGACTGAGGCTTATAACCTGCTTGCGGGCTGGCTTGAGATGACGACTGAGGGTTATATCCAACCCCCGGAGAAGATTGAGTCTCAGGCTTATACCCTGAATTTCCGGTGGACTGGGACGCAGATTGGGGCTTATACCCAGACTGTGGTGTGGCTTGGGATGAGGACTGCGGGTTGTACGCGTACTCAGGGCTAGATTGACTCTCAGGCATGTACCCAGACTCTGGGGTGGATTGAGACTGGGGCTGAGCGTTGTACATGAACTCAGGACTGGAGGACTGTGAAGGCTGGGGCCTTTCGCGAAGGGGTGCGTGGAGTTGAGTGGGTCTCGCCGAGGGCGTGGCCACAGAGTGGGAGCTTGAAGGTGTCGCGGGAGACTGCGAACTTGACGGTTTGACCACATGATGGGAACTCGAAGGTGTGGCTGGAGATCGGGAACTTGAAGATGTAGCCGTAGATTGAGATGTGACTGGAGATTGGGCAGTGGAAGATGTGGCCGGAGCTCGGGAACTTGATGATGTAGCCGTAGATTGAGGTGTGACTGGAGATTGGGCAGTGGAAGATGCGACCGGAGCTGGGGAACTTGATGATGTAGCCGTAGATTGAGATGTGGCCGGAGATTGGGCACTTGAAGATGTGACCGGAGCTGGGGAACTTGATGATGTAGCCGTAGATTGAGATGTGGCCGGAGATT